AGACACCAAACTTCGACACATTCCCAAAGCTAAGGGATCACTGGGACGAGTTCGTTGCATATAAGACAGGCGAACAAGGGCAGGCGATGATGGAAAGAAACAAAGAAAATGCCGCCAAGAAGAAGTACCATCACTACTTGGGGTCAGGAGGCTATAGCATCGCGATGCCGAAGTGGGAGCAGATGGAGGCTAGCTTGATTGAGAGGGGTATCGAACCGGCAACAGCCAATTGGCCGGAACGATCGAAGTTCTGGTACTATGCTCACGGTGGAACGCTCAACCCAGCTGATGGCTCACTGGTCTTCGGCGATCAGATACGAGAGGCTGCGCGACGACTAACAGATGCAGTGGAAGCCTCCTCTCAGGGCACGTTCCGACCAGACAGAGATAGGGACGAGCTGACACTCGCCCTGCAGACTCCAGAGCATCCAGGACGAACACGAGGGAAAGGGGTGATTCCTTGGAAGATTGGTTTCAAGGAGGACATCCACACGTACAGGAGTCGGATGAGGAGCAAGAGAGATACCGAGGCGAAGATTGCAGACCTAGAGTTTCGGGTATCGAGCTACGAACTCAACATGCAAGAGGAGGTGGCAAGGAAGGTTGATGAACGCATGGCCGCACATCGGTCCCATGATCCCCAGCCGACCATTCCTCCTGCAATGGTGAGCCCGTCAGGAAACCGTAGCAGCTGCGCCTCAACGGGGCAGGTAGGATCACAGAGCATGGACGCCATGCAAACACAGGACGAATCGACCTATCCCGTTGATGACATCACTCAGCGGACACCATGTGAGCTGCATATTCCTTTCAAGAACTTATCAATAAAGGTAAGATTTAGCCATTCCGCTAGTTGCTGCTTATATATGTTGATTACTAATAAATAATATCTCACAACATGAAGGTGGCGTCGGGCATGGCCATCCCAACGGACCCTTCAGGTACTTACCACTGCAGGCCGATTCCAGCAGGATACTCGAAGGTCGAAGTTGAGTTGGTCGAAGGCGCGTACGAGGACCTCGAGCTGGATTACCCTGGAGGAGACGGTGAGACGCATCTACGAGACACATGCCATGCCATTATTCTATGGCGCAAGCGGTACATCATCCTCCCTGGGCGACAAGCGGCGTCTCGTGCACCATCTCCTCCGGCTCCGCCATCTCCTTGTCAGGATCCTGCACCGTCTCCTCCTCATGCTCCGCCAGCACCGTCTCCACCTCAGGCTCCAGCATCGACTCCTCCTCTGGATCCTGCACCGACTCCTCCTCGTGCTCCTACACCTACTCCCCCGCAAGCTCCTCTTCCGGCACCTTCAAAGTCAAGGGTCCCCCCAGCTCCACCGCCTGCCCACACAAGGGCAACGAAGAAGGCGAAAGTTGACGCCGCCAAGAACAAGGACCCGGGGTACGATTGCACGCAAGAGGAGCTTGACGCTTACGTTGCATCAGAAGTCAAGAGACAATTCAAGCCTCGAAGTCCAGAAAAGAAGATTCCTATAGACCCCAGTGTCAGGAACTTCTTCAGGGGTATGTCTGCATCTGTCAAGGAGGCCATCAAGCTATCGGACTATGAGCGAACGCTGAAGAAAGCATCTTCTGGAAAGTCCAAACCAGTCCCTCAGCTTGGAGAGCAATCAAACCAGGAGATCGAGCCGTTGGTGACCGGTAAAGAAATGACGATAGAACAATTTATTACTGACACCGGTCTAACTACGGATCAATTGCTAGGAGTCGCACCAATCGAAAAGGCGGAAGTGAAATACATGTACGAACTCGGTAAACCGCTTGTCAAGCCTGAGCTGCTGCAGTCCCTACCCACACAAATGTACAAGTTCCATCAGCTGTACATGGAGATGAGCGCCACCGGTAGAGAGATGATCGGAGCGAGGATCAGGGACACGGACTTCTTGCAAGGAGATGACATTCTCTGGATCAATTTCAGGGGAATCTACGAACTATACCAGCTAGACGCCCTCGACGTCTCTATTATGAGTTGCTAGATTTTGTAAGTATATCGTTCAGTTAGATTTCTTACTATACGTCTCCTTTAATTAATTAGGTCCTTGTATATAAGTAGACTATAGAAAATAATATACTCCCTTTTATCGTTGTAGAATGGAGATTCAAAGGGCCCGACGGCGGAGGGTTTTCGATACTGGATTCATCGACCCTCGGAAAGTAAACGTCGCAATGCTCGACCAATATCCACAAGAAACAGAGGACAATCTCGTCCATCTCCTGAAGGCGCAGCATTACAAGACGTTCATACTGTTGCCATACAACACAGAGTTAGTTTAATTTTACTGTCTTCCTACATACCAAATTTCATTCCCGTACGAACTTGCTAAGTGTTTCATATGTAATGCATCCCACGCACATTGCAGATTCCACTGGGTGCTTTTACTCTTCGACCTGGAGGCCTGCACCGTCGACGTATATGACTCAATGGATAAAAAAGAGTCTACGTTTGACAAGGTTTTCGAACTTATAGACAGGTACCGTCATAAGTTCCTTTGTTAATTAAGAAAATCTTGTTATGTTAATTGCTACTACGAATCATAGCTTTAAACTCCATGTAGGGCTTGGTATTGGTTCCGTCATTTGGTCCGCGGCAAATGGAGAGAAAGACTTAGGCGAAAGTTCAAATTTCCTGTGAGTACACATGCTCTACATTTATATTTCTCCGATTCAAATACATACAAGTGTATATTAATTAGATCTCTCGTTGTTTGTCATTTATTTGTAGTGCGCAAAGCAAAAGCAGGGAACTAACTTGTGCGGCTATTACGTGTGCGAGTATTGCCACTGCCTTGCAGACCAAATCATCACCACAAGAGAGCTCGATGTACGTACAAATAAATTCAAAATTTCATTACGTAGCGATTTCTTGTTTAATTACTAATCAATTTCATACATTCATATAGCTTATTCGCATGAGGGATAACCTGACCACACACAAGGAATTTATCGCGGCGGTTCAAGAACAACTCATGGGATTCATCAACGAAGAAATCCTTGATCCCAAGGGTGAATTCTACTACGACGGAAACACAATTCACCGGTCCTTAGCTTCTGAGCTAGCAGCTAGTACTACTACGTCGAAATCGTAGCTAGCTAGGACATATAATGGATTGTAATTAATATATGACTACATATGTTTCTATATGCATGTGTACACATTTTCTATAATGTAAATATATTTTGGTCATATATATATCTATATACATATGCATTTGCATAACATATATATGTATAAATACATATATATTATGCATGTATATACATATAATATAATATAATATATATATATATACATATATATATGTATGCATATATATGTATTGAAACATATATATGCATGGTTTATATATATATATATATATATAAACCATGCAGCAACAGGGCCATGCAAAAAAAAAAAAGGTCAGCTCGATCTTTAGTCCCGGTTGGTAACACCAACCGGGACTAAAGATGGCTCAGCTGGCCACGTGGCTGAGCCATCTTTAGTCCCGGTTGGTGTTACCAACCGGGACTAAAGATAGATCTTTACTCCCGGTTATTTCACCCGGGACTAAAGATAGCGATCTTTAGTCCCGGATTGGTACTCCCGGTTTGGAAACCGGGACTAAAGGGGGGTTACGAACCGGGACTACAAAGGGTTTCTCCACCAGTGAAATATTAAGATGATTGCTTAGGTTTCAGTCAATAATTTAATTTAGCAAGGTAAAACGAAAAGACAACTATTCCATCTAAGTCTAGATGTATGAAAAACTACAAATAAAACCTATCTCATTTGGAAAACCCAAGACATAAAATAGGATCAAGCTTTTTTGGATGGAGAGGGTATTTACACCATTGATAAAATTAATACATACTTAATTACTCCAAGGTTAATAGTAAACCCAACAGTTAGCTATTCATTTGTTACAACATTAATAACTAGCCTTATCACATTATCCAACAAAATTTCTTAGAGTCTTGTGTGCATCTGGCTGCATATATGCAATTAATCCTTTTCCCTTCTTCCTCCTCTCCTCTTTTCTTCAACTCCACACAAAATATAAGGTGGCAACTCTTAATCAACTATAGTTTACTTATATCACTTATTATGTATGCTCTTAGTTGTAGCTGGGCATATAGCACTAGTAGCATTAACGCACTAAAATCCAAGGAACAACCTTTTCGATGTTTTCATCAGCATGACCTAATTATATTGTCAACCAACAATCTTCAACTGGAGGAGTATTAGATTTATATTCCTTCTGTCTATATTCTGGACAGGTCTTTGTCCAAGACTAGAAGCAACAATATTAGAGTAACAGTACCTGAAGGAAAGAAAAAGTATACATTGCAAAACGACGAAATGAAGATGGATCGTCAATTCATCATACTCTTGTCTACAAGGGGATGAGAAAGGACATAAACATAACTGATGTTTGCATCTAGATTTTTCTATATGTTTGCAAACAATCGTTTGGCTAGTGTAGAGACATATGTTAATTACCTTGTACATGAATTTTATTTTTAAGTATTCCATATAAGAACAATTGTACACCCAACTAATTAATGTATACATGCATGATTTAAACATATTATCTTCAATTATATTCCTAGACCAAATAATAATTGAGACAAAACAAGACTAAGTCAAAATGGTTTGCATCTATGCATGGTGCAACACGCTACTAGCTCTCTGCTTTATGTCCAATAGTCATACATAATGCTAAATCGAAATTATTTTTTTACAAACTAATTATAATCAATATGAAGCAACCAATAATGGAGATGAACATGGCATATACCCATAGCTGGGTACCATGGACCCACATTACAATTACACACAACCGATATATATATAAACAACTACATGAGATTTCTTATCATGATAGCAATTAATTAGTTTATGCCTCTCTTGACAGGGACAAGAATTAGTACTAATTTGTCATATGTTCACCAATTAGTGCACGACTGGAGTGTGGAATGATGTTATATATATAATCACCTTGGGTAGAAGTTGTTGTGCATCTTGCTAGCTAGCTAGATTGCATCTTCTTCCTTCATTTTACTCACAACCTACAAAGTGAGAGATTATTCTAACTCTAAACCAAGACCATCTCAATTTCTTGCTACTTAAATCTCATCTTCATCTTCTTCAACCTGTGATCATCATTCAGTAGTTAAAGCTAGTAATAGAGCCACTTGACAAGATTGCAGTACACAGATGTGTGGAGAGATGGAGCATGGGTTTCACCTCCACATGGAGCACCAGGTACCTATAAGCATGATCTAGCTAGCTATATAGCTTCTTAAATCTTGAAATTAAAACCTTTTTTTGGTTTGTCAAAAAATGGTGTCTGATTTTGTGTTCTTTACTCTAGGCTATACATGGTGGAGAATTTAAAGAAGGGATTTGCACGTCGATCCCCAATCCTCCTCTTCCTAGCACATCGAGACCAAATAGCATGGTCATCAAGGTACCCAATTTCCACTACTTTTTGCCTTGTAAGAATTACTCCAATTGTTCTACATATACATGGTCTTCTTTGGAACACGAGGGTTGACACTTTCAGAAAAAAACTGAAATTTCGTTAATATCGGTACTTTTTTGCAAAATTATTTTTTAACAGAAGATCGAAATTTCGTGAATTTTGTTACTTTTTTACGAAATTATTCAAAATTTTAACAAATTTTGATTGAATTTAAACAAAATTTGACCAATTCTTTTATAAAAACAAACTTGAAAAATCCTAAAATTACGGATGAGATAGTTGCTTGCCGGGTTCCGAAATCACCGGAATTTCTATCATCCCTGGGTGTGTGCATTCTTAATGGTCGGGCATCCATGGCGTGGTGGTGCAGAAGGTTTGCCGGCGGGAGTTCATCCCGCCGCACATCGTGGCGGAGGCGATCTCGACGCTGCGCGGCCTCGACCTCCGGTGGTCGGGTCCCATCACCCCCGGCGAGCGCCGCTACGTCGAGCAGTACGTCCTCGCCAAGTACCCCCAGTACTCCCACGGCCTCATCGGCGACGACGCCTCCGCCTCCGCCTCCGACAGCGACGTCGTCGTCGAGCAGCAGCGCCGCCTGCAGACGTCGTCGTCGTCGGCGAGGGGAGCGCCGGCGGCGGCGGCGAGGCTGGAGCCGTCGCGGCTGCTGGACATGCTGGCGAGGAAGGCGTCGTTCCCGGGGAGCTTCGTCTCCATCCCGGAGATCCAGGCGAGGAACCGCGTCCTCCGACGCTGCGGCCTCGCCGACGACGACGACGACTACCTCGTGCTGTTCGCGCCCACGCCCCGCGACGTGCTCGTGCTCGTCGGCGAGAGCTACCCCTTCTTCCGTGGAAACTACTACATGTCCATCCTCGCCGGCGGCGAGGCCGACGGCGGCGACTGCGTCCGCGCGTTCGCGGCGTACAAGGACGCGAAGGTGATCGCGGCGCCGGAGTCGTGGCTGGACCTCCGCATCAAGGGCTCCCAGCTCAGCCAGTACTTCCGCCGCAAGTGCAAGCACGCGCCCAAGGGGCTCTTCGCCTACCCCGTCGTCGTCTCCGGCCCCGGCGACGGCTCGGCGGCGGCGGCGGCGGCGAGGTACTCGCTGCACTGGGTGTCGGAGGCGCACCGGAACGGGTGGCACGTGCTGCTGGACGCCACGGGGCTCGCCGCCGGGGACCGGCTGCCGCTGTCGCTGCACCGGCCGGACTTCGTGACGTGCGCGCTGGACGACGCGCGCGCGCAGCCGCCGTCGGCGGCGACGGCGACGGTTACGTGCCTGCTCGTCAGGAGGAGGTCGTTCGACGTCACCTCCTTAAAGGGAGATAATTGAAACGATATGCAGAGCTAAATTACTTTGTTCCGTTTCAAATTATAAAAACATTTTAGGTTTTGTTTCATGTATGTGCTTCATTTATACTATGTGTAAATAATTTAAACGAGGGATAAAGAAGCCGAAACTTATCTCTATCTCTATCTTTACTATTATAAAATTAAAGATGTTTTTGCCATGCGCTTTGGTACGTCGTGAATCCGTAGCTTAGTTTCTGCATTTTCCGATTATGTATATCTTTCTTTCGTGTTTCTTATTCTATTTTCTTCTACCGAGCGCAACGCAGATGATCGATGCAACCCTGGGGTTGTTCTACCACACAGCTGACCTCTGGGCCGAGCGTCGCGGCCACCACGGGCGGAAAAAGTACACCGAAGGTCCCTCAACTTGTCATCGGGATAAAAAATATCCTCGAACCGCAAAACCAGATATACGAGATCTCTTAACTATACAAAACCGGTCACAATAGGTCCCTCGACGGTTTTGATCCCGGTTTTGTCCTACATGGCTGCTGAGTCAGCGTGGGACCCACATGTCAGCCTCCTCTTTCTTTCCCCTCTCTCCTATCCCTTCCTCTTCTCTCTCTCACTCTTCTCTAGCTCTGGGTAGGCTGGCGCCGCTGGCCGACGGGTGGGGAGGAGATTGACAGGGCGAGGCGGGAGAGGAGGTCCGGCGGCCGGCGACGTGGTAGCGGAGACGACGTGGGATCAGGGGAGCAAGGTGGCGGCGGCGGCGATGACGCGGGAGCAGGGGAGGGGCGTCGGCGACGGCGAGGGGAGCAAGGCAGTGGCTGCGGCAGCCTCCATTGCGCAGGCGCAGAGGAGGGCATTGGCGACCGACGAAGGGAAGACGGTCTTTCTTTTCAGCACGTCGCCCCAAACCTTTCTCCGCGACCAACGATTGGTGACGCGGCGGCGGTGGCGGCGACGCAGGAGAAGGAGAGGTGGCGACTGCCGCCATGACCTCGCCCTCCTCGACAAGTTCCCCTTCAATGTTGACTTCACTAGCGGCAGTGACTTTCGTTGGTGGCGGCGGCCGACGAGCGGAGAGAGGAGTGGCGGCCGAAGCAAGAAGGACATTGCCAGGCTCGCTGCATCCATGCGCAGGGTGGGGAGAGGAGCAGAGGTGGAGATGGACGCGACGGCGGTGCTCAATCGACCAATCAACCAAGCTGCCGCCGACGCCGACTGCCAGCTTCGCGTCAACTCCTTCCTGCGTCCACCACCGGCCCCGAGGCGACGCCCTTCCTTGCAGGCCGCCGCTACTCCCCCGCTCTCCGCCGCTGGCGCGCCAGGGCAAGCGCCGCCGCCAGGATGCTGACCCCAGCTGCGGCCTCCTCACCCTCATCGCCTTGCTCCCCTCGCTGCCGCCGATGCCCCTCCCCTGCTCCTGCGTCGCCGCCGCCGCCTTGCTCCCCTGATCTCGCGTCGTCTCCGCCACCGCCGCCACGTCGCCAGCCGCCGGACCTCCTCTCCCGCGTCGCCCCGCTGGACCTCCCTCGTCTCGCCCTAGCGTCGGCCTGCCCAGAGCTAGAGAAGAGTGAGAGAGAGAAGAGGAAGGGAGAGAAGAGGGAAAAGAAAGAGCAGGCTGATATGTGGGTCCCACGCTGACTCAGCAGCCACGTAGGATAAAATCGGGTTCAAAACTGCCGAGGGACCTATTGTGACCGGTTTTATATAGTTGAGGGACCTCGTATATCTGGTTTTGCGGTTCGAGGACGTTTTTTATCTCGATGACAAGTTGAGGGACCTTGAGTGTACTTTTTCCCACCACGGGCTGAGTGTCCCTCTTTTTAACTGATGGGCCTCATCTGTCTTGGGTCACATAATTCTTAGTAAATTATTTCTTGGTTTTTCTTTTTCTATTGGCTCAGTTCGGGGTCCTCCCCTAATTTTTCTTTATTGCTTCACCCCGTTTCTTCCGAATGCATGTACACTTTTTAAAAAAAATCAAAAGATATTATAAAAATTGAAAATGTTTCAGCTGATACATTGGTACGTTGTTTGTAGTTGAGTCGGTTTTCAAGTTTATATTGACTTTTAGAAATACATAAGAAATCTTTTAAAAAAATACATGCTAACTTGGGACGAGATTCGGATAACTAATTGTTTCATAATTCTTGCCAGACCATTAGAAAGCAACATACAGGATATGGCAAGCGTCCTAATAAGAATTCCAAATTAGATATAAATACTATCAAAATAAAAAACCCCATAGACTTTTTAAATAGAAAAAAAATCCTAATAATAGTACGATTAAAATAGTTTTGACCCGTTGCAACGCACGGATATTTTTTTCTAGTAATATGAAATATTGAAACGGACGGAGTAAGCACTGATTGCCAAGGGACATAAGTGATCACTAGAATTTGTGTGTATTTATAGATGATTTATGGAGAGAACTGCAGTGATGTTTTAGACTATTCCCAACTCAATGACTAGGATGGTGTATACAATATTAAATAAGCTGCCACTTAGGATAAAAAATAATGTGACAAATGAATAAATGAAAAAAGAGAAGAAAACCCTGTCTTGCATGAGACATGGTTTCTACACAACATCCAAGACATCATGTGAGATAAGTAGCATTAAATTTAAGTATAGAATAGTGGTGTTTGCATTGGAAAAGTAGTGTCTAGTACTAGTTTCTTGATGATGTGGAGTTTATGAAACTACGTCTAGTGTCTTGGGTTGAGACTGGCGTTAGAGTTCAATTGCGAGTCTGTGAGTGGCAAAAGAGAAAATTTATTTGCTTTGATATCTACTCTCTTCATCCATAAAAGCAACCATGGCTATCTATCTGGATATGTAACTCATGTCCATATACATACCCATTGTTGTTTTTTTTTTCTTTTTTTTTACGGGTGGAAAATGCAATTAATTTGGGTGAATTAGTAAGCTTGGAGCTTTGCTAGTACATCACAGATGGTTATGTTGGACGTCACATGTATACACGGATGCCGGTGTAATTAGTTAAGATAGTTAAACATGATAGCTTACTTGCCATGTTAAGATCATAGTACTAATAATTAAAACTTGTGTTTTGAGTTTAATTCGGTTTGATATATAGATCCTGGCAATGGCATTGAACGAAGTTGGCGACCGAACTGGCTCTTGAAAAGCTGTCTGATTTCGGCGACATACGACGGAAGAAACACAGGCCACATACATTGCAGGGCTGATTTTAGGCGAGGAAATTAAGTTGGAATAAGTCCACATTACGTCCCTCACCTTCCCATCGAGTTCAAATCACATTCACCTCCAACTTACAAAGGCCTTGTTTAGTTCCAAATTTTTTCTTCAAACTTTCAACTTTTCTATTACATCAAAACTTTTCTACACACATGAACTTCCAATTTTTTCGTCACATTGTTTCAATTTCAACCAAACTTTTAATTTTGACGTGAACTAAACACACCCTAAACCGGTTTAAATCAGTAGTATGCATGGCCAGTTTCGCTGACGTTACAAGTTTACCGAGTCTACCTGTACGTGCTGAATAGGTATTTACGTGACAAATAAAACTAAAACTGGGACCCACATCAATCGGCCGGCTTCGGCGCCGTGCACTTTGAGAATGAGCGCGCGCTGCCGCGCCGGACCACCTCAGCTCGTCGGCGACGAGCGGAGGATCTTCCATGTCCTGCTGCACATGGTCGGCGACCCTGATTGGCCAGAGGTGGGATCGGATTCATGGCGTCCTACTCCTCCCCAGTTGGCAAATCCTCAGTGGAGTTTGCCATTGGTGTCAGTCTAGCGGCAGCAGAACGGCGACACCGCTCTCGCCGAGACCAAGTGGAAAAGGGCCATTGATTGATCTCAGACTTAGCTTCAGCATGTGCAGAGAGTGTTAAAAGAAATTTGGTCATAATTCGGCATATTTAAATCTAAAATATTAAGACAATTAACATGACATTTGTAATTTGAGTAGATCTAGTGACAGTGCTAGATGTGTACAACATAAGCATGCTTAATATAGAATAAGCATCAACATAGACAAGAGAACGCAATAATATTGCGACAGACAGTTGTAGAAAACGAAGAATAAACGGTAATAGTAAAACGTTATACCCCGAGAATGGCCCTCCGCTAGAGTTTGAGGCAGTATTGCCTCCGTTGGTGTTGACGAGAGGCTCCTTCTCCTTGTTTCCAGTGTTGTTGTTGTCACCGGTTGTCGACATGTTGGTGAAGATGATGCAGAGCAGTCGCGCTTGAAGCGCTATCTAAAAACTTGATCGCTCGCCTACCCGTGCATGTTCTCAAGCGGACGGAGTTTCGGAGGCACTTGCTCGTTCCGATCACCCGTGCGCGCGGGATGAACAGAACCGGGGAAACAGAGAGACAGCGCAGGAACAGAAGGAGAGTATCGCCAAGGAACAATAGTAGGAGGAAGATACACACTTTGAGAGCCTCTGCCTTGCGTTATATGTAGAGAGAGAGATCTCCATTACCACACAAATAAATATCATCTGTTGTGATGGTTACCACAAAATAAATCTCATTTGTTGTGAAGGTTACCACATAATGAATCTTTCATTTGTTGTGAAGGTTACAACAAATAAATCTCTCATTTGTTGTGGATGTTACAATATAATGAATCTCTCATTTGTTGTGGAGGTTACAACACAATGAATTTCATTTGTTAATGGTGACTTTATTCTCATCTGTTTCAAAACGGAAGAGCAGCAGGCAGGCTCGGCTCGGTCGGCCGCCTTGCCTCGCTACGCCCACGGCCGAGGCCGACTCGGCATGCGCGCATGCGTGTGGCAGTCCAACCATCACCTCAACTGGTCAACAGGGAATCTCTAATATCACCCTATTTAATTTGAGGTTCTTCCACCTAAATTTTCAAGCCAGTGTTATTCTCTCTAACATTACTTGTGGGCTCTTGAGATATTAATTGAATTAAATTGGGCCTAGCCCATTTATTCCAACAATCCCCACCAAATTTCATGGCTCACAGGAAATGTTCTCAAAACTGAACCTGTTAGTTATACCGGTGTTTCGATGGAGACTGTTAAGTTGAACTTCCACCTAGGAAAAGAGCTACACCAGATCACAACTGAACAATGGACTATGCCTTGAATTATCAGTCTTGTGCGATTCAGGTTTCACTCAAACCCTTAACTGGTACTAGGCTGTCGTTTGCATCCCCTCTGTTTGGAGCGTATAAGTCATA